GACACTTTCAAAATGCACATGGGATTTTCTATATGTCCTAAGCCGATGCATCACCCGGTATATACCTATCAGATTAATTTTAATTATTATTGTATTATTGATATACGGTCTATCTAAAACAAAAAGCGTTGCACGTAATACTACAGCCACCAGTAAATCCCATAAGATGATGCATGGTGTCATTGTTGACGTGCAACGGTTTTTGTTTTAGATAGGATATAGCGTGGCTAACGCCATATTCAAGGCCTGACTGTTTTGACAGTTCCACCGAAGTGGTCCAGAATTAGTAGTCGTAAACAAACCAATTGTTTTCATTAGTTTCGCAACAAATCTGTCTTTTTTACGCGTTTCTATGCTAATAAAATTATACTAAATAATTTTGAGTGAATAGTGAACTATCGAGATCCGATTCATAACATCGTACCCGCGAAAAAAACATGTACTCGGTAAAATTGTGGTAACACCGGCGAAGCCGCTGTGTCAGGCTGAGGAAAAGTTGGGGAATTTGCTGCCAAAACATAATTAGCGTTAGTGTTGGTGTATAGTGTTAAACCAACGTAAGTGACATTGTGTTACACAACCCTTTACCATGAAGATCATATGAAAAAGACTTTAATTCTGTTTCGCTGAGACAAAAACTGTGTGTTAACTTCGTTAATTCTCATTGTATTTGTATTCAGTTAGAGCTTTGTTGTCGAGCTGTAAACACGTATTTCTCCACTTGTTAAATTAAATTTATAAATAAATCTTTTTTAAAAACGGGTTGTTTGAATCCAATAAGTTAAGTGGCGCAGTCGGTAGGATTGTCGAAAACGTTTTGCATCGAGCATCGTTGTTCAATTTCAATTGATTAATCGGCAATCGAACAAGTGATCGATAACTTTATTGTGCGTACAGACATTTTACTATCCATCGAGGAAGTGTACAAGACCAGTGAGGGGATCAATCACGGGAATAGGAACCAAAATTGTCCTATTTCACAGAGATCGATAGGTTTTGAGAAGGACCCACATCGCCTGATCATCCATTGTTCTCTATAGACGGAATGAAGAACAACTTGGCATTTCTTATGTAAGTAGTGCAATTCTTAAGCTATATATGTCAGTGGAAGATATTTTAAATTCTTTAGAAAGATTAAATTTAACGCCTTCGGCAAACTCTAACTCAAATTTAAATATAAGTAATCAAACTAATACACCTAATATTAATTTAGAAAAAATCAATCACATTAAAAGAATGTCTCAATTCAAACCAGAATACCTTAATTGTGTACCTGTTTTCAACGGTAATCCAAGTGAATTGAATAGGTTTTTAGCTATATGCAAGTCATTGATTGATACTTTCTATGATATTGCTAATCCTCAATGTTTTCAAAATATTTATTTGCTAAATAGTTTGATAGGTAAACTTAGTGGTAATGCTAAATTGATTGTTAACGTGCAAAATGTCACAAATTGGGATCAATTAAAAGATGTTTTGTATCGAAACTTCGCCGACAGACGCGACGAAGCTTGCTTAAATCGGGATTTAGTAATGTTGAGACAGAATCCGAACGAATCTGCTCAAGATTTCTATGATAGATGTTTAGAAATATTAAATTTATTATGTAGTTACGTAGACGCACACGAAACTACATTAGCCGCTTCTACTAAGCGCGATTTATATAAAAAATTAGCTCTTAAGACTTTCTTATCGGGACTTAGGGAACCCTTAGGTAATACAATACGCTGTATGCGACCTAAAGATCTTACTGAGGCAATTCAATTAGTTCTTGAAGAAAATAATATTAAATATTTTCAGGGAAATAGTTTCTCACAAAATAAACCTCAAAATTTTAAACAAAATCAGCAAAACTCTAAACCACAACAACATTTTAATAATTTTAGACCTAATTTTAATACTCAGCCTAGACATAATTTTGATAATTTTAATCAACAACCACATAATTTTAATCCTAAACCATTCCCGTCACAGCCAATTAATATCAGACCCAATCCTAATTATGTACCTCCTAGACAGTTCACAAACGCAGAAGTTTTTGGCCAGCAAAATAGAAATGTATTTAAACCCGATCCATCGAAACCTCTACCAAAACCGACACCGATGAGTATCTCTACTCGTCAAACGTATAAACCAAATTTTGGGCCAACTAAATCTAATTTCTTTAAACCATCAGGACCGCGTAATTTTATATCAGAAGAACTTTTTAATACACAGTGTTCATCAGTAAATAATTCGAGTGAGTTAACTGATCAAAGTAATTATGAATATTCTGATCAATATGATTACCAAAACTTCGATCAACCAGAGTATGATTACGAGGGACATTTAGAAACTACCGAATCGAATGACGAAAATTTTACGGAAGCTCCTCCTACAACAGAACCAGAATAGAACCAGAAATTATTTCTTTAAATGCATCTAGTTCTAGTGAACTATCTTATATTATTTTTCCCGAATTTGACATTAAAATTTTAATCGATAGTGGCTCTACAAAATCATTTATAGATCCTGACATTGCAGAAAAGTATTTTCCAAATTTAATTAAAAACGATCCATTTATTGTTTCTACAGTTTTCCAAAAATCGGCACACAAGTACAGTGCGACAATACCGCCTTCTAAAATTTTTAATATGCCTAACCAGATTCCTTTAAAATTCTTTCTTTTTAAATTTCACAATACATTTCACGGACTTTTAGGTTTAGATAACTTAAAACTATTACAAGCACAATTAGATTTTTCAAACGGATTTTTAATAACACCCTATACCAAAATTAAATTAAAATATTATAACACAAATAATAATTTAAATTTAATAACAATTTTCCCACGTTCTGAACAGGTTATAAAAGTAAAAACTTCGATTAGAAATGGAGAAATTATACTCCCACATCAGAAAATACATAACTGTGAAATTCCAGAATGCCTAACTGTAGCAAAAAATGGTGAAGCTATAACGACAATTTTAAATAATACTACACAAAAATTAACATTAGATTTTTCGAAACCTATTAACGTAGAAAAATTTTATCATAAAGATATACAACAAATTATCTTAAACAATTTTGATGATTCTGAAAAACAAAATCTCGATCTTTCTAAATTACGAGTTAACCATTTAAACAGCGAAGAAAGGCATAGTATTTTAAAAATTTGTAAGGAATTTTCTGATATTTTCTATAATGAACACCAACCTTTGACCTTTACAAGTAAGATTAAACATAGGATAAAAACATCTGATGAAGTTCCCGTCTACACTAAATCGTACAGATATCCTTTTATACACCGAAAAGAGGTAACTGAACAGATGAAGAAGATGTTGGAACAAAATATAATAAGACCAAGCAATTCTCCCTGGTCTTCACCAATTTGGGTAGTCCCAAAAAAGCTTGATGCTTCTGGGAAGCAAAAATGGCGAGTGGTGGTGGACTATAGGAAGCTTAATGAAAAAACCATCAACGACAAATACCCTTTGCCAAACATAACCGATTTACTGGACAAGTTAGGAAGGTGCCAGTACTTTACAACGTTGGACTTGGCGAGTGGTTTTCATCAAATTGAGATGGAAGATGAGGACATTCAGAAAACCGCCTTCAACACCGAACATGGTCATTACGAATACCTTAGAATGCCGTTTGGACTTAAGAACGCGCCAGCGACATTCCAACGTGTAATGGACAACATTTTACGGGGCATACAAAACGAGAAATGTTTAACTTATCTAGATGATATAATTGTATTTTCAACATCTTTACAGGAACATTTAGATAGCTTAAAGTGTGTATTTAAAAGACTAAGAGAGTCCAACTTTAAGATTCAATTGGACAAGTCGGAATTTCTCAAAAAGGAAGTAGCGTATTTGGGTCACATCGTGACACCCGATGGTGTTAAGCCCAACCCCGATAAAATCAAAGCCATAAAGAAATTTCCAATTCCAAGAACAACAAAAGAGATAAAAGGCTTTCTAGGTTTATTAGGGTACTATCGAAGGTTCATAAAGGACTTCGCTAAACTTTCCAAGCCGCTAACGAAGTGTCTAAAGAAAGGTGCAAAAATTGTACATAACGAAGAATTTCTATCATGCTTCGAAGCCTGTAAGAATGTACTGATTAATGAACCAATACTCCAGTATCCAGATTTTTCAAGACCTTTTAACCTGACAACGGACGCTAGTAACGTAGCAATTGGAGCAGTACTTTCCCAAGGTACAATTGGTCAAGATCTACCAGTGGCGTACGCATCAAGAACGCTTAATGAGTCCGAACAGAATTATTCTGTTATCGAAAAGGAGTTGTTAGCAATTGTGTGGGCGACTAAATATTTTAGGCCTTACCTTTATGGACGACAATTTAACATCATTACGGACCACAAACCACTACAGTGGCTATTTTCGTTAAAAGATCCAAATTCAAAATTATTGCGTTGGAGGATAAAGTTGGAAGAATACGACTATAAAATATTTTATAAGAGGAAAACTTAACACAAATGCAGATGCACTTTCCCGTGTAGAATTCATACAAAAGAAACCGAATTTTGGGAACAATTAGACGATATTATTAATTGAATATGACCAAACGAAAGAGGCTTATTTGACAAACCAACGACGTCCCAACAGATAGAACGCAATAGACTTGTATGCCGATACTCTGCCAGATGTACCAGTACGAAGATATTGTAGACAATACCGATAACGTATCTATGTTAGTACAACCAGATATCGAGAACGAGCAAATAATCAAGAACAGAACGATGACGTCAACACAATCCATTCAAACGACGAACAGATCCCTATTGTAGGAATTCCAATTTGCGAATCACCTGTAAATTTTGGCGCAAATCAAATAATTATTAGTGAAGTGTTACACTCTCCTACAAAACCTAAAATTAAAATTCTTTTCGAGAAAAAACGTAGATTTCTTGTTCAGCTCTCAAAGATAATAATTTTTGAAACGATATACTAAAATTTGTTAAAATTTGTCTTACCCGAAAAAATGTATTAAGCTTGTCGCCCACTTGTCCGGCACAGCACGGACCGTAGCTGCCCGTCGCCTGCAGGCGACGGAGAGCTTGGTCGCCCACTTTTCCGGTGGAAACCGGCAAACCGTCACGTCGCGGTCGTGTGTTGCGAAGATCTTTTTATTTTAGTTTACATGTAGCAGTGACTGGGTCACTATGTGTGAAAGCAGCAGTTCTGATGAAGAAGTTATTGTAGCGGCCGCATTTTTGGCAGAAGAAGAAGAAAATAAAAAGAAGATAAAGAGAAAGATGTGGGTCCATCCCATTAATCAAAAGAGGGCTGAACTCGGAGAATTCCATCATTTATTTAACGATTTAAAAGAAGATGAAAAGAAATTTTTTCAATATTTTAGAATGTCGCATAATAAATTCCTAGAACTGCTTGATATTTTAGAGCCTGATTTATCATTTCAAAATTCCTCATTTCGAAGAGCAATATCGAAAGAAGAAAGGCTTGCCGTAGCATTAAGGTAAGTAATAAATCGGTATTTTAGCTTATTAATGTTTATTATAAATGTCAAAGCACAAAAGTAATATTCTTTTCTTAAAAAAAACGAAATAAAAAAACATTCTTTGATAATTACCAACAAATAATATTAATTGTTCTAAATATAAAGCATAATAGTCCGTGGCGTTTGTGTAAAAATATTTACAACCACCCAAAATACAGGAGACTTACCCCCAGTCTTCGGATAGTTTTTTCAATCTCTTATATGTGTAAAAACTGTTTTTAACAAAATTTGGTGCTGGTATCCGGAAGTGAAATATTTTGGTGTTTAATGTCACTAACACCACCGACTATAGAATACGAAATAGCATTCTAGATCTGTGTAAGATCATTATCATCGTTATTGTCATCAAAATGTTCGGTGAAACTGGTGGTAGGTTGTAGAACAGAAGCAAATGGTATGTGTTGCTGAGAATATGATGATAAGAGTGATTGTGATTGTGAAAAGGGCTTTGGTGATATGGCTGGTGAGTGCTGTGTTTGAGGCTGCGGATATGGCAACTGATGCTGCTGTTGCTGGTGAAAATGTGGTTGTGGCATTGTGACCCTATTTTGTTGAGGAACATTTGTAGATCGAGGTGGTTGATTAGAAATTAAAGTAACTTTTTGGCTGGTGGTTGGACTTATCGGGCTAAAATTTAGATTTTTTATTTCTGCATCACTAACTATTGCAAAAACTTTTGATTTGACTTCAATTTGTAACTGAGGAGACAATGTTTTAACTGTTTCTGCCATACAATCAAAAAATTTTGATATAGCATCTGAAGCGTTCTGTCTTTCTAGTGGTGTTTTTTTTTGACTGTTTTTTTCTTTTAAATAATCATGAAGCACTTCTGCTGATGAAAGTGTTTTTTTTGCCTGTTTTGACCCTTTATGAGTTGATGTTTGAGATGTGTTAGAGGCAGAACTGCAAGGTTTGGATGTAGAAGGACCTTTTGGAATACTGCTGGGACTGCTAACATCATCTGTGACATTACTGTCTTCTTCCCGCTCCTGTGTTTCATCTTCTGATGAATCACACTGCTCAACATTACTAATTTGCTGTCTGTCTACTAAAAAACATCGCAAAAAAGACATGTGTTTGTCATATCGCCAAATCTTTTTTTTTTTTGCTCCTTCACCACTTTTAGTTCTCTGAGACCTAAGAGATTTTCGATAGGTATCTCTTAACGTGCTCCATCTTTTCTTGCATTCGGTAACTATAATAAAAAAAAAAACAAAAAAAAATGGTACTAGAAAGAGAGGAGAGTCAATTTTATTTTGAAATATTTCTGAGAAAGGTCTGACCAAGTTTTTATTTTATTTCATTTATTTATTGACAGGAAACTCCATTACATTAAAAAAATTTAACAATTGGAGCTTATTACGAAATTTCTAGTATTTATTTACAAACTTAAATATGAAAAGGGCGTGATAGCAGTCTTGGTATAAAAGTTATGATATTTTAAAATATTTCAACTGGTTCAACTGGTTTGGTAACTATTTCATTACTTTTTTTAGGTTTTTTGCTACGGGAGACACATTCCGAACAATTGCGTTTAGCTACCGACTTGGAGAAACAACAGTTCGTAAAATTGTTTATGGATGTTGCGATGCAATATGGAAAAATTTGGGACCACTGGTAATACCTTCTCCTTCAAAGGAAACTTGGATAAATAGTGAAAGGGTGTTCAATAAGATGTGGAATTTTCCAAACTGCGTTGCTGCCATCGATGGGAAGCACGTAGTTACCGACAAACCCCCCAATAGTGGCTCCTTATTTTTTAACTACAAGAAAACATTTAGTATTGTTTTACTTGCATTTGTAGATGCTCATTGTAAATTCATTGCTATTGATGTCGGCGCCTATGGACGAAATAGCGATGGGGGAATATTTGCAAATTCAGCAATCGGAAAGAAATTGTTGAAAAATACTTTAGATTTACCTCAGGACAAGTCTTTACCTGGCACTAATGAAATTATGCCCCACGTCTTCGTTGGAGATGAGGCTTTTCCTTTGCAAAAACATGTAATGCGTCCATATCCAGGTAACGAAATACTTAATAACGAGGACGTTAAAATATATAATTATAGACTTAGTAGAGCTAGGCGAGTTTCCGAAAATGCTTTTGGAATTTTGACAAAGAGATTTCGTATTTACCAGAGGCGTCTTCAAATTATCCCTGAGCACCTAGATAAAGTTGTACTTGCTACATGTTGTTTACATAATTTTCTTCGAAATGATACATGTCATTGGACTGAAGCTGACGAAGATAACCAATCCCCCCAAGGATTAAGAGATATATCGGGAATAGGCGGATCTTCAACTACAGTTGCAATAGAGATTAGAAATAAATTTAAAAATTATTTTAATGGGACCGGGTCGGTGTCATGGCAAACAGCAATAGTAAGAAAAGGCAAAAGAAAAAACCTTGAAATGTGATTTTGGCTGAATATATATAAAAAATATATGATATATTTATAAATAATAAAATAAATACATACCGGGTCTGTTTATTTCTCCAGCGATTTCCTCCCATATGTTGTCCTTTTGTTGCTGGTTATGATAAGCACTATCAGTTATATCATAAATTTCCCTATATTTTTGTACTAAACAAATTAATTTTTCATCGTCCATTTTTAATTTTTTTTCTTAGGACTGCTTTCTCGGACTCAACAACAACAACTGCCGAAATAATTGCAAAACATATGTATATGCGATCGACAGGCTTCCACAAGTTGGTGCAGGCCAGCGCCGGCCGGCGACGGCCGGCTTCACGCACACTTGGCCGGCCCGTCCCGGCCCGTCCCGGCACGGGCCGTCATTTGACGGGGAGAGTCGGAGAGCTGGAATCTGTTCCGTCGACGGACTCGCCGTTCCGTGCCGTGACGGGCTAATGTGCGATAGTCTATTCATTTGCATGGTTTTAATCCTATCCGTATTTTGACGGGCCGGAACGGGACGGGACGTGACGGCCAAGTGGGCGACAAGCTTTATTTGTATTTCGAAAATCCAAATAATTTTGAACCCTTTTGTGAAGTAATCCGTAAAAATTTTAAATGGCCTTCTATACAATTTAAACGATGTACGATTAAGCTTATTGATGTTGTAACTAAAAATGATATACAGGATGTCATAAAAAATTATCACGAAGGAAAAAGTAATCACAGAGGCATAGACGAGACAGAACAAAAAATTAAATCAAAATACTATTGGCCGAATTTAAAAAGCTCTATACAAAGTTACATTAATGATTGTGAAATATGTCAACTTAGTAAATATGAGAGAAACCCTGTAAAAATCCCTATAAACATAACCCCAACACCAACCAAACCTTTCCAAATTGTACACCTAGATACCTATACTTATGAGAAAACCAAATTTTTAACTATAATAGACAGTTTTTCGAAATATGCGCAAGCGTATTATCTAAACTCTTTGACAGCTAGTGATATTGTTAATAATCTATTAATATATTTTTCACATCATGGGATTCCATCGCAAATTATATTAGATAACGGTACAGAGTTCAAAAATTCAGTCGTTACAGAGTTATTTGAATTGCATAAGATAAAAACACATTTCTGCTCTCCAAACCACCCACAATCGAACGGTATGGTTGAAAGACTACACTCTACTCTTTCTGAACATATTCGGTTATTAAATAACAAAGGTTTTCAAACAACACCTGTAAGCCAGAAAATCACTTACGCAATTTTAGCATACAATCATACAATACATTCGGTAACAAATTTAAAACCAATTGACATCATAAACGGTCATGTTTCTTCCGATGATCCATTTGACATCGATATTAATAAAATTTTAATTACCGATTATATTGAAAGTCACAGAGAAAAATCGAAAATCTTATACTCTAAATTAAACGAAAAATTAATAAATCACAAAGAATCTGTCGCAAATAAAATTAATAAAGATCGCGATGACCCTGAATTATTATTCAAGGAAGGACAAAAAGCTTATCCTAAGAAATTTGTAAGACAGAAAAACTCTGACAAATTCCACAAACCAGTAAACTTAGACTCAGTTGATTTACCAAGAAAAACAGCAACAAGTAAAACACGTGGAAAAATACATTTAAGTAATTTAAAACGTCCTCTGAAACATAGATATAGTTTTAATAATTAGTTCTCATATTTATTTTCAGAATCATAACATCAGGACTTTGTCTCGGACAAGAAAAAATTCTCTTGAAACAGTTAAATGACAACCCCGGTATAATTCCGATAAAACTTGGAACGGCAAAATTACGGCAAAGCTCATTTACGCTGATTCATTATTATGACTTAAATCCTTTAATATTAGAAATAAATACACTTAATATAAAAAGTAATAATTTAACTTTGTTAATATACCAAAATAAAAATTATACATTTGATTCAATTAACTATTTAAATATTTTAAACGTTTTACAAGAGCGAGTAAATTCAGAAATAAATCAGATCATACCACGATCTGATAGAATAAAGCGAGGCTTAATAAATGCTTTAGGGTCAGTATTTAAAACTATCAGTGGAAATTTAGACGCATCCGATGGCGAAAGATACAACACATTAATAAATAATCTACAAACCAATCAAAAGAATTTGGCGGAAAATATTTTGAAACAAAATTCTTTATCGCTCAGAGTGATAAATAAATTTAATTCTACTGTTAAACAAATTTTACACAACGAAAAACTTTTGGAATTTAAAATCAATCAAATAGAACAAATAGTTCAAGGGGCAGTTTATAGAGAAAATTCGATGTTTATTAAAGACACACTCATTCAATTAATAAATATTTATGAAATTGTCGATAATGTTCTACAAGATATCGAAAATTCTATTGCTTTCTCTAAGTCACGAATATTTCATTCCAGTATTGTGAAAACTGAAGATCTATTCAATGAACTAATTAATATTCAAAATATTGTTGGAATCGATAAAATGCCGTTAAACGTTACATTTGAAAATATTCTCATATACGAAAAAATTATTGAAGTTGAGTGCTATATATTAAATAATAGAATTACATATTTATTAAAAATTCCATTAACCTTTAAAGAAAATTTTGATTATTTTCATCTTTATTCAGTACCAGTATTTGTAAAGAGTTTGTTTAAGGTTGTAATAGCTAAAAATAAATTTTTATTAAAAAACAAATTGCACTACACCTTTCAAACCAACAAATGCCATGATACCCGAGACCAGCTGTTTATCTGCGACGAGTCCGATGTACGAGAAGTCAAAGACCAGGATTCCTGTGCCGTACAGCTGTTAGATGAAATTCAAAACCTATCGCAGTGCCATCAAATTGAAGCACAAATTTCCCACTCATTCTCAAAACAATTAAGTTCATCGAATAACTGGATATACGTGACGCCCTTCGAAGAAATTATAAATTTGAAATGTCTTCAGCAAGAAGAAAGTGTACGCATAATTGGAACGTATTTATTAGAAATACCGTCGAACTGCCAAGTGAAAACAAACAATGAACTGATAACCAATAGTCAAAAAACAATAAAATTTAAAACACAACCTTTTCTGTTTTCGGATTTTCACGAAAATACATTTTTTATACATTCGGTCAATCTAAGTGCCCATATAGACAATGTAAACCTGGACGAATTGTATAAATTAAAATCAGAAATAAAAGACAATAAACCGCAATTAGTTTTCGAAAAAGTATCGGCAATTCCAAGTGCGTGGACAATCGGTATGTACGTTCTGCTTTTCATCGTCTGTATCTACGTTGCCTGGAAGAAATGGAAAACACCTACACCACAACAGAGGGATGTTCCACTAGAAGATGTTCGACTACCCTAGCCAAGCTGTGTATTCGAATCTTAGGGAGGTGTTACAACCCTTTACCATGAGATGTATAGACTTTTTAATTCTGTTTTCGCTGAGACAAGCATTATTGTTAACTCAGTTAGAGCTTTGTTGTCGAGCTGTAAACACGTATTTCTCCACTTGTTAAATTAAATTTATAAATAAATCTTTTTTAAAAACGGGTTGTTTGAATCCAATAAGTTAAGTCGTGTATTTTTATTTAAAACAGTTTTCGTTTCTTTATTTTTACTTTGTGAAATAAAAAATTCCGTGACATTGTTCTGTGCCTGTGCCTTGTAGCAGCAATTATAATAAGTCCTCAGGATGTGGCTACATTCTCTTTCCCAACAATATTAACTGTAACTGGGTCACGTCCAAAACCTACAGAACATGCTGTGCCTACAATTTTTCAAATCAACCCTCTTATGGACCCTCTGTTCCCATAAGAAACGTCCCGATGAAAAGAAAACAAGATTTGGAAATTTAGGATGAAATAAATATTGAAAAGTATTATTATTATTATGAAATATATATTATTATTATGAAATGACAATATGTTTTAAAGAAATTAAATGAATTTGTATTTTATTTCAGTATTTTATATAAAAAAAAATGATATCTTTATCTAGTTATGTGAGAGGAAATAGCATGGTTTTCCCACGAAGACGCGAGCGAAACCGAACTTATAAATATAACCAAGCGCATTAAAATTGTCATTTTGTTCTTAACCATTGTATTCATTGTATCTGTTAAACATACTTTATGAAAAATAAAATTTTTTAAAAAATTTTCGTTGTCGAAACTCATAATTGGCGCAGTCGGTATGATTGGTGCAGTTTGTCACCCAACAAAATCATTGAATTGATTATCGCGAAAAACGCGGATTTAATCCCTTAGTGCCGATCCGAACGAACGCTTCTGAAAGCCACGGCTCGAGTCCGATTTTCGGTAGTGGAGTGAGACATCGAAAGCCGAATATGCCAGAGCAGAGTCCAAATTGGTTTTGTCACCGCGTTAGTCGGTAAAGTGCCAAAGTCCTTTTGTCAATTTCTTTTTTACTTTTCCTGTTTATGAAATCTCTTTTATTTTTAAGTTAAAGGTGAATTTAGCTATTTAGGAAAACAAAAACGATTTTTATTTTTGATTGTTAAATATACGAATACATATTTTACTATATTATATTTTGCTGTAATTTCTCTATTTTATTTTATTTTAATTTTTATTCTTTTTTATGAATATTGACGATTTGACAACGAATTTTCTAATAAACTAGTTTTAAAATCAAATAAGATGGAAAATCAAAGCCAAACTCAAACACAAAATAATCTGCAAATGCTTAAATGTATGTAGACATTATTCTAATTTTGACGGAAATTCTATTACCTTACACAGTTTTATTTCTGCATGCTCTTTACAACTTTTGGTAATTTCTAGAGGCGATTATGATAAATTATTTAATCCAGAGTAATACAAACTAAGTTAGTCGTTGAGAGCTCAACTATTAGTAGGTTGCCGATCAGAACTAGATACTTGGCAAAAATCAAAGATGCATTGCAAGCCTGTTTGGCGACAATAGAAGCTTAGAATAGAACAAGATCTTTTTATGGCTAAGCCAAATAAAGGAGAAACATCTTTAGTTTTGCTAAGAAGATTTAAATAATACGTAGTCAATTAGCTCAAAAATTAAACAGTCTTCCTCTGACTGAAATGCCAGTTTCGACCAAAACAATTTATCCAAAAGCAATACGAGCAAATAGCCCTAAGAACTTTTGTTGTACTCCCTGGACCTTTACAAAGCATAACACGACTAAACCCCGAAATCTCGAAAGTTAACTCTCACAATCATAACCGAAGAAGAAAATTTTCAATACACTCAAATTTATTTGCTTTCTTAGTCACTTTTAATAACATAAAACCACACACACCCACTTACCAACCACACCTCGTCCATATTTCACACAAGAGCTCATCAGTCTAATCCAATCTAATCCACATATAATTATCCGACAAATTTCCAAAACCAGTCTCCAAGATTCCCCCCACCTCAAAACCAGAACCGTAATCAAATCCCCAGTCAATTTTTAAATCAAGGACCCCCGAATTTTCCTTCTCAACCCATAAACATTCAGACACAATATGTGCCTAGACATTACCCGACCAACA